CCTACGGCTTGCTGACTCATTCCTAACCTCGACCTTGGTTGTACTCAAGCTTAGAACGCTAAAATGAACCCTTAATCAGTGCTAAGAGTTAACAGAAACGAGTTTAACGTTGATTGAATTGACTAAGTGTACAAGATAAAAGTTTCGGCTTGTCACACACATGTATGATATTTAAAGGCCCAATAAGCACGCAATGAGTATCCAAGGTCCGTCGAGCATGTAAATGGGTCAACAAGGCCCAATAAACATGTAAAGAGTATTCAGGACCTATCAAGCATATAAATTGGTCACTAAGGCCCAATAAACATGATAATGACATAATTAGCCCATTTGTTATTATTTTTCTAGTTTTAGCTCTATTATTTACCAAAATGACATAAAAGGCCCACTTTTTGTAAAAATGACATTCTTGGCCCATTAAGCCAAGAATTTAAAATTAAGGCCCATTTTTGGTAAATATAACATTTTAGGCCCCTTTTTAGAACAAAACTTGCATTTAAGGCTAGTTTTTGTAAAAATAACATTTTTAACTCACTTTTGTCAAAAATATCATTTTGGCTTGATTTTTATAAAAATGTGCATTTTCGGCCCATTATAGATAATTTCATCTTCTTGGCCCAAAATTTTATATTTTCACATTTTTAATCCCTCTTATCAAAAATTTACATTTTTGGTATAATTTTGTTGAAAATGAAATTTAAGCCCACAAAAGTCCAAAAAGTTATAATTTTTTGCCCAAAGTCGTAAGAAGCCCAAATAAGGCCCATTTTTGTGAAAATTGACATATTTAGCCTATTAGAACCGTGAAGGCCCATATAGAAGCCCATTTACGAAAATTTACACTTTTGGTTACTTTAAAACCATGAATATTATAAAGATCCATTTTGATTTAGAAATGAATCTTTTGGTCTTTTCAAGAACCATGGGTTATCATGAGAACCTCATTTTTGTTTATTTTGTCAAAATTAGCCCTCGTATGCAAAGTTCTTAGTTTTAAGTAACTTGTAGGTATTTTAAAACCATTTCCTTGTAAGATATGATGAAATGAGTGTTATGTTATACCAATAGCATCATCTTCTAGTAGATCTTTAAGTTCATGAAGTTTACAACACATAATCACATATATAACTTGAAAAACACACAAAATCATGCATACACACATAGATCTACACAAAACAACTTGTATTCTCCCCCAAAGCAAAGTAAAAACCGAAAATAGGGGGTATGAACTCACATTGCTTTGAAGGTTTCGGTTTTGGAAGAGGATTGGAGAGGTTTTCGGCCTTAACAAGCTTGCTTGAAGTAATTTTCGAGATCTATGAAGTTCTAAGAGCATGGATCATGAAATGAAGTGTTAAGGAATGAAGATTATCATAAAATGAAGTTAATCATCATACTTAGAGAGTAGATTACCCAAGAGTGGTGATCTTTGATGAAAAGCTTGGTGAAACACCTCTAGTTCACGAATCTTGGAAGAAAAAGGGTAGAATACTCCTTGGTTTTATAGAGAGATATGAGAGGAATTGTTAGTGATTGTGAAGTGGAAAAATAGGGGTGTTGTAGGTGCACTCGGCCAAGGGTAAGAAGAAGAAGAATAGAGTGATTTGATGTGTGGGTATTACATGAAGGATTACTCCTAGAGATATGTAGGTTAAGTGCTTGGAAATCCATTAAACAATAATTAGGTGGCAACACCCTAATTATCCTCTTATTATTTCTTTTTTCTTTCTTTTTTATAGTTGGGCCGAGAATAAGGGAGGGAAGAGAGAAGAGAAAAACTTTGGCCATACTAGCTCATGTTTGACATTATGAGGCCCAAGTTAAGTATTTTCGGCCCATTGGGCCCTTCTTGAGGGTTCATGGCCCAAAGGTGATAAAGGGGTGGGGTTTAAGGCCAAATTACTATGAGAAGATGGGTTCACAGCCCATCATGGTTCCTTAAGGTGGTTCACGGCCCATAGAGGTCCATAAGAATAGGTGAGTTATTTTAGGCCCAACATGGCCCAATTGCTATGGTTTGACGAATGTGGGCCCAACTAGAGCCCAATTGGGTTTCATTGGTCCAAAATCATCAAATAGAAGGTTTACTGGCCCATTAGGTCCAATAAGAGGATCCTAGTCCATAATAAGTTTGAATCGGAATTGTTAGAGTTTAGACCCATAGTTAAGTATACGAGATGCATTGTATTAGATTTTGAACTTCACTCAGGAATTTTGATTCAAATGGATGATTTCGATTGAGCATAGAGTATGATATCTACTTAAATTAAAAGTCTTACAATAGTTGATGTTTACATGAGGACATAATTTCCAAGCTAAAATGCTAGGTGTGACAGCATGGGAATCTAAATATTAATGAACATTTGAATGCTAATGATCTTGTGAAAATTATGAATGAAACCTTAACGAAAAACGAACAATTCAAGATTTTGAACATGACTGATAAGTCGACACTTGACTCTCAACAAAATTTTCCTGATATTGAAGATAATTCTGACACAATCAGTGAAATTAAGGTTGAGGAGTGTGTCGATTGCTCACGATTATATTTCATTAATGTCAATTCTATGACTAAACGAAAAGAAAAATGTAATGATTTAGTGTCAAAAGTAAACACTGATCAACCTTCGACCTCCAAAACCTGTGATTCTTATGAGATTGTTGTAGTTGGAGACTATGGGAGTGATGAGGATGATGTTTCGAATGAGAAACACTTTCCAAGAGTTGTGGTAAAACAATTCTTCGAAGAATCAGAGGAGTTCATGAAAGTTTTGAAAGATAAAGGAAAACATTATCTTAAATCAAATACAACGATTTATCCTAGGCTCAAGGAATCAAATAATGTTGTGTTTCCAAATCAAGTCTTTGTTACTCAAGGAAATGCTGATAAAGTAAAACCAAAATTGCAAAAGCTGGTAGAAGAAGACAATGAGGATGTGACAAAAGAAGGTTTTTATTCGAACCAAAACACAGTCGAAAATGGTTTGAACAAAAACTCAACAACTTTTCATCAACAATAACCAAAACGTGTTTGGGCAATGAAAATAGAAAATTTTGTTGTTAACAATAAAAACAAAGAAAAATGTGTTGATTCATCACCCAATGATTCAAAACATCAAGAGGTATAAACAAAATCTTTCAAAGAAATGGTAGAAAAATTGGCTTGTGGTGAAGGAATTTCGAAATCAAAAGCACAAAATAAAGTTTATTGGAAATCTGAGAAAGCTTTTCACAAACAACAGGTTTTTCAACAAAAATCTTCTGAAACAGTGAAAACCTTTTCACAAAATGCAAAGAAAGTTCATAGTCAACATTTTCATAAACAAAATGACTTTCAAAAGAGTCGAACCTATGTCCAAAATCAATTTCGACCGAATGATTTTCAAAGAAATGTTCAAGATCAGGGACATAGGAGTTTTGTTCAAAATCATGATCAAAAGAGTTTTGGTCAAAATCATGGACAAAAGAGTGTTTCTCAAAATCGTGATAAAAAGGGTTTTGGTCAAAAGAATGGACAATGGAAGTTTGTTCAAAATCGTGAACAAAGGAATTTTGGTCAATGTAATGCGCAAAGAAGTTTTGATCAAAATCGAAAGGTTTTTCTACAAAATGGTGTTGGTTTTCAAAACCGATATCAAAATCATTTTCAAAATCATCCACAAAGGTTATTTCCAAAAAGAGAATTTGAAAAATTGGAAATTAAAGGAAAGAAAACTAAGCCCTTCAAACCTAAAAATCCACATTTTCCAAATCTCGATCCGAAATAAAAATTAAAAGCATCATTTGCAAAAGGTAGAAGTGATGTTAAGAACATTAATCATTGGCTTGATGGAAAAGGAAAGCAATATCAATTAGGAAAGTATTCTCAAGAGAAAATTCAATTTGATTAGTGTCACACAACTAGTTGTTGGCATTGATAATCAGGTTCTCTGTGATGAGGACAGAAGTATTATTTCCAACAAGGAAAAAAAGAGATTATATTGAAGTCGAAAATAAAATGAGACATGTGCATTCTTAACATGAAACCAATTGTGGGCATTCCCTAAGCATGCTTGTTTTCGAAAGCATATTCCGATCTTATCTGGTTATGGCATCGATGTCTTTGTCATCTCAACTTAAAAAAACTAAACAAACTTGTTCTTAATGATCTTGTTCGTGGTTTACCTATTTTGAAATATGATAATGATTCTTTGTGTGTTGCATGTGAACAGGGAAAACAACATCATCAAGGTTATCCGATCATCATAGATTCAAAAATCATCGAACCTTTGGAACTTCTTCACATTGACTTGTGTGGACCTTCGACTGTTGAGACTCCCAATAAGAAGAAGGACATACTAGTTATTGTTGATGATTTTTCCAGGTTTACTTGGGTTTTCTTTCTTTGACGGAACTGAAGATGCTCAAGTGATGATTGATTTTATCAAAACATCGAATTGAGCTTATAGAAGAAATATCGAATGATAAAAAGTGATAATGGAACGGAGTTTAAAAATTGAATTCTATATTCCTTTTGACCGAATTGGGCATATCTCATAATTTTTCATCTCCATCCCACCGCAACAAAATGGTGTAGTCGAAAGCATGAATCTTCCTTGTGTAAAGCGGCGAGAACAATGCTTACATATGCGAATTTGCCACAATACTTTTAGGCAAAAGCGGTTTCGAGTGCTTGCTTTACGCAAAATCGTTCTTTCATTCATCGTCATTTTAACATAACACCTTATGAGATAATAAACAAAACGAAACCTAATGTTATATTTTTCCATGTTTTTGGATGCAGATGCTTCATTATGAATCACAAGGATAATCTCTCCAAATTTCAGTCGAAAGCTGTGTTAGGTCATAAATTGTGGGTTATACTTTGCTTTTCATAAGATATTATAGCTCTTGGTCTAGGACCAAAAACAACATGTTTTGGTGTTGTTTGGTATCAAGAGGGCGTTATTGCTCCTTTTTTAGTTCAAAAACTCCTATACAATTACAATAAGACCAAAGTCTTATCCATTTGTAGATGGAGCTTCGATAGCAACTAAGTCTAGAGGGAAATTATGAGCATTACGTTCATGCATAACTTCCATACCAAGGTTAGCACGGTTAATGATATCAGCCCAAGTATTAATTACACGGCCTTGACTATCAACTACCGATTGGTTAAAATTGAAACCATTTAGGTTGAAAGCCATAGTGCTGATACCTAAAGCAGTGAACCCGATACCTACTACAGGCCAAGCATCTCGGAAGAAATGTAAAGAACGAGAGTTGTTGAAACTAGCATATTTGGAAGATCAATCGGCCAAAATAACCATGAGCGGCTACGATATTATAAGTTTCTTCTTCTTGACCGAATCTGTAACCTTCATTAGCAGATTCATTTTCTGTGGTTTCCCTAATCAAACTAGAGGTTACCAAAGAACCATGCATAGCACTAAATAGGGAGCCGCCGAATACACCAGCTACGCCTAGCATGTGAAATGGGTGCATAAGGATGTTGTGCTCAGCCTGGAATACAATCATGAAGTTGAAAGTACCAGAAATTCCTAGAGGCATACCATCAGAAAACTCTGCTGATTTTTCACCATCATGCTAACACTTCTCCATTCCTTACGATGTCCCATAATGAACGTGAGATTGAACTCGATGGTTGACCTTCTGACTCCATAACAATTGCATCTGTAAATGAGTTCGTTCAAGCGATCATAGTATCTTTCAATGGATTCACCATCTTTTTGTTTGAACTCTTTCAACTTAACCAAGCACTGCTTCACATAATTAATCTTCGTTTTCTCACTTCCTTGAAACTTCTCTTTGAGAGTATTCCACATTTCTTTAGCAGTTTTACAACCACGTACATAGTTGTAAACAACAGGTGGCAATGCACCTCGCAGTTCCCTCATGTATCTTTTCTCGTTGTTATTCAACCTCGTAGATTGTTCATTAACAGCTTGAGTTGAACCAGATGAACCAATGTTCTGATCATTCGAAGGAGCTTGAACATTTCCATTAATGCAATTCCAAATCTCCTCATCCAGTCCATTTAGATAATCCTCCATTCGATCAGCCCACTGATCATAATAATCTGGAATCAGCATAGGAATCTTCGTTGAAGATCCTAGCATATATATCTTTTCTGTCTCTCGCTCTCTCTCTCTCTCTCTATATATATATATATATATATATATATATATATATATATATATATATATATATATATATATATATATATATATATATATATATATATATATATATATATATATATATATATATATTATCTTCTGAATACTCTGTAATTTTGATTATGTGTTACGGTTTTGAGGCTTTCTGAGGTAATTTTTAAGAACATCAGGTCGAATTAACCCTAGCCCTAAAACTTCAATCGCCGACCACAAAAGAAAGTTCTTAGTATCTTCACTTTGTTATTATGACGCTTTACAAATTGAAAAGTGCGAAATTAGAATCGAGTGATTATTAACTTTTGTGATTATGATTTGAATACATATCATGCGTAAATCTTTAATTTTTATTTCTTTTAATTGTTTTGTGTGATAGTCACAAAGTGATTAATGAAGATCCACATAATTAATTCATTTTGTTTACTTTTTTGATTGACGCCGATGCAATTTTTTTATATACTTCATCTTTTTTAATTATTGGTAATTCCTTTAGTAATGAAGAATGAAACACCAGATTCATTTGCTTTTGGTTTAATGGAGCATTATTAGTTTATTACTATTATACTGTTCATAGATTGTTACCTAAGTTAAAGGATCAAAACTTTCAGGTGGTTTTAGTTAAATTTTAATACAAAGTAAATGGATTAATGGATTAATTTTCTCTTCATTTTATTATATACAAATTGATTATGAGATAATGTCTCTAGAATCGGTTTTTTTCAACAGTGGGTTACTTCATGTTCTTCCTATTTGGATATGGATTTTAGTGTTCATTTCTTTAAAGACCTGCAAATCGAAGGGGGGAAAAGTTACATCTTCATCCTCATACTCTTTCAGAATATATTATCAACAAGCCTTTTTAGAATGCATCCTCATCAAAATATTTAAGAATGGATTGTTTGGCAGGAAGAAGGTATTTAGAAGCAATTGATTCTTGAAGATTATTATTTGAGACGTTCACTAGGTAAATCTAATTAATTTCTTAATTTTTAAATTAGAATTTCTAAGTTAGAACTGTTAATTGGTATTTACATATGTTCTTAAATTGAAATTTCTTGGTTTTTTGTATACTTGTTTTTCAGAATGATGAAAGTAGTGAATTATTGTCGATGGTATATGACCCTTCAAGCATGTCAACATATTGGGGTAAAAGGCCATTAACTTTGTGACACGTATCATTCAATTGGGATTTGTTGCAGGAGGATTTATTTGACGTCTTGCTTGGGACGTGATAAGTATAAGGTTAAAGAGGTAAGTACATATTTCATGTTGTTTTCTCATCTGTTTGGTGATTTTAATCTTTGTGAAATCCTAAAAACCATATAACTTGTCACTTATAAAAGATTGATAGTTACTGTAAACCCATTTTGTTTTGCATTCTTAAAGAAGATATGGTCATACCATTTCATTAATAATGGTAATCTGATTTGATATCCGGATAACATTGTAATATCCATTGTTGTTGCAGGCTCTTGTAACGAGAATTGATCTTGCTGGTAAACCAAATGGTATGAGGATTGTGTAAACACAATAGAGCATAAATTTATTCTCATACTCATGCAATTTGATTCTAAGATAATGGTACCCTCATTTGTAATACATTTTACATTATTTCAGAATTTTAGGGTTCACCTTACGAAATCAGCAACATTCTTTTAGAAGATCAGGTTCATCTTCCAAAAGCAGCATCATTCTTGCAGAATATCAAGGTTCATTTTACAAAAGCAACAACATTCTTTCGGAAAAGAAGCGACCACCTTACAAAAACGGCAACATTCTTTCAGAATAAAAGGGACCACCGTACAAAAACAACACCATTATTTCTTTAAGTAGAAATGTGGCAGAATGCATTATTAAATTTCATATCAGTTTTTGTACTTTGAATAATTGCATATATCTTTTTCGTAAGAATGGTTGACATTAGTTAGAATTGCATATATCTTTTTCCAAAGAATGGTTGACATTAGTTAGAGAATGAATGAAATTTAGTTTTATTATTTAAGAATGTATTTATATTTTTCATGTTTGTTGTAACGCATTGAATAACGTGTATTGTTGTTTGGCAGAATGAATATGTGTTTGCCTATTTTTATTGATTTCATACCCTTCTTGCTCCTGCATAAAAACTAAATCAATCAAATTCTTAAAGAAGACATAACAGAGTCATTCTTAAAGAATAAATGAATAAATCGAAACTTATAAAAGGTTGTGTTTGAATTTAATTAATTTTTGATAATCATATTTTATAAATTAAGAGAACTAATTATCCCCTAAAATCTAGGATCTTGCTTTTTTAAATCTAGATTAATTGACTAAAATTCCCTTATTATGAATATGTGTGATTAAATGGTACAAGTTATTCCATTGTAATACCATAGACCCTCAGATAATAGTCATTCATTCATTTTCATCCATTGGACTAGAATTATCCTTATGACCACAAATTAGATGTCATGCACATTATAACCTAGCCCTATATATATATATATATATATATATATATATATATATATATATATATATATATATATATACAGAGAGAGAGAGAGATCATTTGAGAACTCATAGTTTCATGAGAACTCGAGAAATAAAAGTGGAACATTAGATCAAAAAATTTAACGGCTTAGATTAAAAATCGCATAATTGTAACTATAAGTAAATTTAATCACATTCTAGGTTTTTATCGATGGATCTTTGGGTAAATTTGGTATAGAAAGTATCCTTTCAAAAATCAATAAAATATAAATTACCAATTAACCTAAAATCCATAAATTACTCTTTCTCTCTCTCTCTCTCTCTCTCTCTCTGTATATAGATATATATATATATATATATTATATATATATATATATATATATATATATATATATATATATATCTTCTTTCACGTCTCCTGCACATCTCTTCCTTCTCCATCGACCGCCTCCCTCCTCCCTCTATAGAGCATTCCTACCTCTATCGCCAATCAACGACGATTTCCGATCCACACACTCACTACACTGAAGATCAACTTCAAAGAAAACACTAAAGATCTATGATTGACCTTAATCGCCATCGGTTTCCACTCTAAATAACCGTTTTGAACTCTTCATTGTAGCTCTGCAAAATACGATCTGATCACCACTACATCATATTAGTTATGTTCATACACAAAATTGTAACCCTAAAATCGTAGGTACATGATCCGCCATTGATAAAATGAAGAGGTATTATAAGTACCTTTCCATATCCAAATTTAATCAACGAAATGTATGATGTGTATCTCTAAACTAGCCATTCACGGATTACTGAAAATAGGTTTGGAATCAAAGAAATGTCTAATTTCGTCAAAGATCAAATGATCGGTATCAAATTAAAAGTGGTGACAACGTCGATTTCCCTAAAAACAGCATTATATCTGCTTCTTCCTGATGCAAAGTCCAATGACCTCTCACTTAATCTCATTCCGAAAGGTTAGACAACTTTACCTTTTTTCTGTTTCACTTGTATTTTACAATTAAGCTAAGTTAACTACGGATTTGGCAAAACTATGTAAATTGAGTAGCTATTATGTAGTTGCGGATGAATATTTTCTAGATCTGTAATCTCTGTCGGATAAAATAAAATAGCTGCAAATATGCAACATCATCAGATCGTGTGCAGAAATAAGGAGAAATGTCGAGACCAAAATTATCCTTATAAATTCATCGAAGTTAAACTTCCTCCTAAAAGCCTAAGTGTTCGATGCTTTCCTCCTGTAAGCATAAATCATCCTCAATTTCAATTGACATCAAATGGTGTTACAATTCTACTATCTATTAATTTTGCGATTACGTCTAGAATAAGGGGAAACTATTCCACCTTATTATATCAGAAATTTATTTCCATATATTTTTTTTTGTTATAACGAGAAACGTAGCTATCGATTTCGTGAGAAAAATTTACAGATTTTGTGTAGAAAATTAGGTATCCTAGTTTTGGATCTCAACTGCATCTCTTCTTTTGTAAAAATGCAGTACTATTTTGAATTTCACAAGTGACTCACATATGTATTACAAGTGATTCACATGAAAATCACATAAGAATGACATGTAAATCACAAGTGAATCACATGTAAATCATAAATGAATCACATATGAATTACATGTGATTCACATGTACTTCAAATATGTTGTAACTCTTCTAGGAGATTGTATGTTAAGATCCCTAAAGTTCATCATTTTGCTAAAATTTGTAGTGAACATCGTAAACTACTTACTTTTCTAGCTTTCAAAAAAAGAACAAATAGATGAAACTACTTATGATTGTAAACGTAAGATAGCATATTATGATAAAGTTCCAAATGATTCGTATGCGTATGTGTCACACCCCCAAACTAGACGGCGGAAACGTCCG